GGAGCTACTGACAAATATCACTGTGAATATCAGATTCCAAAGATGAGAATTTTGTGATTCATCTGACAAACAGCTGTCAAGAACGAAGCTTGGCTGGATTAAATACTAAAAATACGTAAAACTGCAATATTTTGTGATTTTTTTCCTTGTCCTGAAACTACAGAGTAGCTACACAACTTGTCTAGCCTAATTTTGGCACCACTCATACAGTAAAAGACAATTCTCAATTAGGTACAGTAATACTGTAGACTTATAACTACAAACCTATTTAAACAGTTGAGAGAGGAAGAAAGGTTGTCCTGTACCTGGACAAGAATGAAGGCTGGGGATGGGGGAACACGATAATTCTGGAAAATCTCACCCAGGACGCCCTCCTTACGGTCACGGAATGGTGCCTAAGTACTGCCTCCAGCAACAGAATATATTTCCTAGCACATCACAGTCCGGGAGCACCATCAATTCTGCCTGGAAGCCATATCCAAAAGGGAAGGTTCTTAGTGGTTCTGCTTTCAGCATATCTCAAGGACTAATTAAATCCTCATTACTACCTTCTAATTATTCAAATACTATGGGATTACACTAAGGAAGTCCCTGCTGGCATACTAGATGAAAAGGGTTAAATAACCTATGTTGATTTTGAGAATCCAGATCTAGTTCAGACCTTCAGAAAACCACTAGCACTAACATGAATATTTAACTAGACACCACTGTGAAAATTAAAAGGGAATTCAATTAAAAGGTTTTCAAAAAATTAATTCTGAACCTCTCTACATCTGTCCAAATAAATAAGCCTTCTCGAAACGTTTTCACCTAATTGCTAATCCAATAAACTAGAAGGGCATTTGCTAGTTTCATTAAGCTTAACGTTTTACAGAGGTTAAAAATGTGATCATTTTGATGTTAATAATAATTATACTTATTTATCTACTCAGATGGCTATCCTATATTCCCTGTGAGAAAATAGGACAATCTACTAGTAAGCCATTTCTTACTCCCTTTTTCAAATTTTAAGATAAATATGTTAAAGACTAAGAAATAAGGATAAAGTGAATCTAAATATGTTGGTTACAATTTTCTTGTAAAATATATTTCAGTATTTTAGGGTTATCTTAACTATTCTTCCAATGCCTTAGTTTGTATAATTCATAGTATTTGATTTTTTGGGTGAGAGCATGTTGCTATATGAGGTCTAGAGAGAAAAGATTTGGCTTAAATAAAAACCAATGACAATACTAAGCTGAAGTTTTGATGTTTTAAAAAAACAAACATATCAGTAATGAAAAAGTTAATACCAAAGAATCTGAACTAATTTTTTTTTTATTCACTTAGTAAGAAGCACCACATAATATGCAAACAGGATAGTATAAATCAAGTTTTATGCTGCAAAGTACATGAAACATAGAGGAGACAATACTTCATAAGGATAAAGAAGTCAATAGATCTCCAAAGTGTCTCCCTCCTTTCTGTAAATTCTGATGGCCATACCCACATACACCTTTGTAGATGGAAAATAGAAAACTATAGATACACTTATTTTTGCCTACACACAATGTGGGGAAATGAATTTGTGACTGCTGCCTTTTGATATACTTGACACCAGGACCACCAGGGAAAGAGGGGGTGGGCACTGCAGGGCCCCAGGTCTAGATGGAGCACGGACTCTGTGCTCAACCTCGGGACAAGGAGATGGCCTTGCTGCTGCCAGCACTGTTCGGACCCTAGGACAGCCTCAGACTTGCAAAATTCTCAACAGGGTATGTAATTTATTAATAAATGTTCTTCCTGAATGGGAATACAAAGATCAACCCCCCCGAAATGACAGCAGAGCAAGACAGCAGCTTCTGAGCCTGAAGGGATGCAGCGCCAGGGTGGCAGGTGAGCTAGGCTGACCCCCACAGGGAGTGTGGGAAGGACCCAGACACTGCACCCCACAGGAAAGCGGGCTTTCCTGAGTCTCTCATTTTGTGCAGGTATCTCTGGGCAAGTGTGTTTCTGGATTCTCCACCATTAAAGTCAATCTATCTCCTATGGGTATATTGAAGAAAATGTGTATAATTGTGGAATTTTACTCTCTTATAATCTTAATTGTTAAAACAAATAAGTGTAAAAGGAAGTGTTTAGCTTGGTTATGTTAGCACTCAGCAGTAAAGAGGCTGTGCCTTATCTTGTCTATCAGGGTCCATGGTTTCTGAGAAAGAATACATTTTTAAAAATAAGATGCCAACTCAGCAATATATTTTTTTCCTCTTCTTTCATTACTTCCTTAAATAAGGGGCGAGGGTATATAAATTATAAAGGTATAAAGTAAGTTAAATTACGTGGGAATCAATACTGGGGAATTTCATAGTAAGGGTTTTCTTAGATTTACTTTGCACTATATATATTGTTGGAACATACCAAATGATGGTAAAACAAACAAAAAATGCTTTTCATTATTGTATCAAATCATTAAAATGATTATGTCATCTGCCATTAGAACACATGATCAAGTGTGATCAGGTAGGAGCTAACATATCCTCCTAGATTTATAAAGTCGTTTAAAAAAAGTACTTGTTACCCAATTTTAGAGGAAATTTAACTCTTACATGGCAAAGCACCATCCAAGGGATGCACATGGGGCTTCCAGCACAGTCTCAGGGAAGTTAGAAGAACACGTTCATAAAAATCAATTCAGATTTAGCAAATTATAAAAGTCATCTTTTATTATTTGAAGGAAATGGTCATTAAAACTAGACAGGTTCAGTTATGCATCCACTACTAGTTACCTAAATCACACTAGACATAAGAGGGGGAAAAAACCCCAAACAATCAACAAGTGGTTTCCATGCAGTGACACCAGAGGAACACCCTGGATTTTGTCTTGCAAATGTATTCATTTAGGTTAAAACTTTGATTTAACTACATTTCCTGTCATCTTGTTCTTCACATTTGGCATTCTACATTTTCAGATTTCTTAAATGTTTATCAGGTGGAAGGGACTGAAAAGACAATGGAGAATGTAGAAGAGGGGTTCTTTTTCAGTTTGTAGCAATAAAGGTTTATTGTAGGATTTCCAAATAAAGTACCTCTTATCTTCTGATGCTTACAAAGTAAGCAGAATTCTCCCAGTAGGAATGACGTTACAGGGTTATGGTGAAAATGAAACAACAAATATCTTCATTTTAGCTCTGGGTCTGGCCTGAGTGGGCTTTCAGCACAGGATAATTTCCTCTATTCTTTTTTAATTCACTTCCTTGACCCAGTACCACAAGGTAGGTACAACCGATAGCCACGAAAAGGGACTCTGGGGAAACTCCCACTGGCTTGGCTTCAGCGCTCCTTCCAGAAGCGTCTGTCATGTCTCCCAGACAACAGAGCCATAGGGGAGTTAACACAGAACAAGCAATTTATAGAGACGATGTGACATACAAGACCAATTTATAGGAGGCCACAGTGGGAAGTTTACAGAGAAACAAGTACACACATCACACAATTATTAAAACACACTAGAGTATCATTACGAAGTAGTGGTTCTCAAGTATGGTCCCTGGATCAGCAGCATCAGCAGCACTGAGGAACTGGTCGGAGATGCAGGTTTTCTGATGCAGAATCAGAAACCTGCAGTGTGGCCTCACAATTCGGCTTAACAAGTTCTCCAGATGGTTCTCATGCACTCTAAAGCTTAAAAACCATTACTACTCCATTATTAAAACATATCGCAGTATTTTGATAAGGGAATTAAAGTATTAACTGCACATTAAATGATAATAAAAAGTTAAATATGTAAAGGTATTAGAAATTAAAATTTCATTTTATTCCTACTAAACATTCATTTTAACACAAATGAGGTATAGATAAGGGTAATCCATCTTTTTATTGGTATTACTTTCTAAATAATACATTGCTGAGTTTTTAATATGTAAAATAACTGAAACTTCATCTAATTAGAAACAAATCATCATCTTTACAACTCATACAGAAATAATTATAAACATTAGGGGTCAGGAACCTTTAAATATTAGCTACCAAGCCGGCAACTTTTGTCTTCTGGGCAAGTGAGAGAAGAAGGGGAGTGAAGGAACGTGGCATCTCTATTGGGGGAGGGTGGTGCGGGGCAGGCAGGCAAGGCTTGACTCATGGGCAGTAGGAGGTGGTGATCAGGCACAGCACTAGATGGTATAGCACACTTGTAAATCCTATCTACACTCATCCAGACTAAATCCTAGCTACACTCATCCGGACTAAAATCACCATCTCCACCATCAATAAGAGTAACTTTTCCTCCAAAAGGGGGAAGAAAGACAGAAGCAAATAGATAAAGGCCTAAGGCCTCAGTCAAGGCAAGAATATATGGGGGTCAACTTGTAGAACTGAGGAAAAGGTCAGAGTCTGCAGATGCGGGATAACCTGAATGCTCAGGAAAAGCTCACACTGCTTTTTCTGGCTCGGACACTAACTAGTCTCTGAGAATAAGAAGGTCATATAGAACCTCTATGGTCCTCAATTTCTTTATTCATAAATTGAGATGAATGGACTCTACAGTCTTCCAGGTCAGCTCCATTTCTAAGATCCTATAATCCTAAAATATAAGGTTTTACTATGCATTTAAAAGTTTACTGTTAAATATCATGGGAAAAGTAAATGGCCAAAATAGCTAAACAGATGCACTTTACTTCATTAGGACCAATACCAAAATTGAATCATCAATAGTCATTTTTACACAGCTAGATCAACTATCAGACAGCAGTTATGTTTAAACTATCCTTCCTGGTTCTATGTGGACATGCAGATTCTCTGGAGCTTGAACTGGGATTTGGTAAAACCACCCAATCTACCAGAACCCATCCTTCTTTTCAGTATTTATTGTTATATGTCGGTTCTTAGGTATTTCTTTCATCCGATGAGAAAACATAATAGCTTTTTAAAAAAATGTGTATAAGGAGGTACCTAGGTAAGCAAACTCATTTAAACCTTATATACTCAAAAGACAAACGTATGTAAGATATGAACTGAAGACCAACCTCTTTCCTGTGGCATTGGTGACTGGCTCAAGGCAGGATGAGAACTGGATTCTGACTGGCTCCCAGGTGGCTGAGGGGGCATCTGACTTCCTGTAAAAACACAGGAGAGGAAGTGGGGATAGGGAACCCTCTGCAATAATGTTACAATTGTGCAAAACCAAGACACAGTTAAATGCATTTAATCTTCATGATCACAAAAGGTATTGCTCCACAAAGAAAAACATACAGCTCAAAGAGAGTTATATCTTATACTTTTTTTTTGTAAAACGAAGAGGAAACAGGCATAAACATCTTTATCAAATCACTTACTGAAAAGTTCAATTTTCTACTGTATGAGTTCCCAAATTCACAAATCAACCTACAAGCTCAAATCTCTTAATACACACTTCTACAATACATTTAACAAAATCCGAGACTGATGAAGTCAACTCAGACTCCCAAGTTTAAACTAGCTTCTAAGTGGGCAGGCAGCATAGTGTCCAACAATCTTTTATGAGTAATATTTACTTAATATAGCAATAAAAACTTACTTCTAAAAAACTTCTAAGTCAATCAGAGATTCAACAAAAACTTAGAAGGAAAGCTCAATTAAAAGACACACAACTATAAAGTATAGTGTACATTCTGCATCTTTTAATCTTTATTGCTAATACAGCGATAGTGTCTATTTGCCAACTGTTTGATTTCCATTTAATTTTTGCTTTTTGTCTTTTCAAACTATAAGGTAAGCGCCATGAGACAGGAATCAAGTTGTTTACTCCTTTAGTCCCTCCATCAGCATAACAAATAATTAATAAATCTTTTGTTATTTCATGGTCCTTAATATGACAATAGGAATTAAAGCAAAACACTTTAATTAACTTTATTAAAATAAAACAAAAATTTTTATTTTATTAACTAAAGACAGATAGTGAATTATATGAGGTCTAGAGACATGATTTTTTAATTTAAGAACAATCAGCTCACTTTCTGCCTCACAAGTATAGATACATTTCTGAGAGTAAAAGTATTAGAGTAACAAAGGCAGTTGAATTTAGCATAATCCTCAAAGCACTGTTTAACCATTCATTTACTCTTAAGACATCTGCAGTAAATTAGTACCAAACAAATAAAGCAAAAACACTTACATTTTGGGTAAAAACAACTTCAAGGGTAAACACTGCCATCAACTTGGCTACAGACAGACTAAAGTTGCTGTGTGTCCACTCGGGGTCATGTGCTTCCTGTGAAATGCCCCACGGCCCCTAAGCTCCAGTCCATTCAGAAATTTAAAGCACTCTGCGGCCAAATACTGACTTTTTGAAATGTCACTGGGGAATCAGTTGCAGTAAGATAGTAAGTGCTTACATTATAATGATTGTTTCTACATGACAGACTGAATTCATAGACTCATGACAGTAAAAACAACAACAGTAATTCTATGTTAATACAGGACACCACTGCTTACACTTTACATGCCCCAGGCACTGCTCTTATATACCATATTTCAAGTAAACATAAAAAATGCTGTAAGGAGGCTCATGAATTCATAAAAAACTGCCATATCCAAGCAGCACTAGTGGTGTCTGGTGCATTTCTAAAAGATCTCTCTTTAGAGTTATCTACTCATTTACTAAATCTGTCTTATAAAGAAACAGTCTTAAACATGGTAACGATAGACTTGCCCAAACTGTTTTAAATTCTCCATTTGCTTTCAATCCCTGTCTTTTCATCAGTAGTTTTTCTTTTTTTCCATTTATTTTTATTAGTTGGAGGTTAATTACTTTACAACACTGTAGTGGTTTTTGCCATACATTGACATGAATCAGCCATGGATTTACATGTATTCCCCATCCCGATTCCCCCTCCCACCCCACCCCCCATCCCTCTGGGTCTTCCACCAGCCCCTACATCGATAGTTTCATAGTTACTAAGAAATAACTTCATCTCCCATTAGCATAAGTATAAGCAAAGTCACAGCAGATGACTGTGACATGATCAGAAAATACGTTTGAGAAACATAATACAGATGATCCATTTCTGTCCACTGTCCATATAAAGACAATTCAGAGCTTTTTGAACCAACTGAAAAGACTAAACACCTCTCGAATCATAGATTTCTATATACCATATGTATGATGTTAAAGAAAACCTTTTAAACAATTAAAAGGTTTTTTAAAAGAGAATGTTTTCATATGTAGTAAATTCACGAGAAGGCTTTAACAGTAAAACTGAGTGTTTAAAGAAATCTCATTTTCTCCCTAGTCTGTGTCTATGATGATGTAAGCACAACATGGTGATGTAAACACTATCTGTGAGGCAGGACAAATTCCACCACTTCACATGGAGGTATTCACTCTTCGATGGCTATGTACACAATACTGTCCAAAATTTTTGGTCCAACAAACTAAAAAATGAAACATCAGTAAATGACCTTAATGTCTGCTTTTGCCAACTTAAAATTCTAAGCACAAGTTTGTATTAAAATTTTTTACAGGAGAGCTCTTACGTGTAATGAATTTAAGACTCAGAGTAAAGCTATAAAGCTAGTACAAGAGTGCTGTGCTCAGTCGTGTCCGACTCTTTGCCAGGCTCCTCTGTCCATGGGCTTCTCCAGGCAAGAATACTGGAGTGGGTTGTCTGTTCCTCCCCCAGGGGATCTTCCCAACCCCGGGATCGAACCCGCATCTTTTACATTTCTTGCATTGGCAGGTGGATTCTTGACCACTAGCACCACCTGTGTAAGGGGCTGTTGTATATTCCTTAGCCCACCTCTCCTAGTGATCACATCTTTTTTTTTTTTAAGTGATCACATCTTATAGAACCTTTATATAATTATCAAGAGGAACTTAAAATGGTAAGAAATTACTAAGATATTTGAATTTTACCATTTTTTCCAGCCAGTGCTTCTTTTTTTCATTCTAGCGTCTCATATTGCATTTAGTTGTTATTTCTCCTCTTCAGTCTGTCTTTCCTCATATTTATGACCTTGATGCTTTTGAAGAGTTCAGATCAGTCGTTTCTAGAATGTTCCTCAATTGGGCTGAGTCTGTTATTTTGTCAGGACTGAAGCAAGGTAATGCATTTTGGGATGTGTACGACAAAAGTGTTGTGCCCTTTTTAGTTCATTCTATCAAGAGGTTAATGTCAATGATGTTTCATTTGTGGTGACTTTTGCCTTGATTACTTGGCAAAGCTGTTGTCTACCAAGCTCCAATAAAAAGTCACTGCATTTTGCTCTTTGTAGTTGATGAGTATCTTAGAGGAGATATTTGAGACTCTGCAAATCCTGTGTCTCCTCAATCTTGCACCCACTAATTTTAGCATCCATTAGAGAACCTTGTCTGCAGCATTTATTACAGTGGTGCTTGCTAACAGTAATATTTTGTTTCCCTCTTTCCTTCCACATTTGTGAATGGGAATCTACTATGAGGAAGAAGAATCTCTTCTTCTCCATTTCTTTATGTATTTATTAGACTGCCTCTATTCATATGGACTCGATATGGCAGACACATCACAGAATGATTTCCAATGAGTCAAATTCTTATGTAATTTCCATCTTTTCACTGAGGGCAGAACCTGTGTCTTGGCTTCTAATAAAAGAATATAACAGAAGTGATGGGATATCATTTCTAAAATTATTTTATATGGCAAAGTTAAAGGGATTTTATAGACATAATTAAAGTCCATAATCAGTTGAATTTGAAATAATCAGAAGGGAAGTAACCCTGTGAGGGCCTGATGCTGAGAGGGCTTAGGCCTTCTTTAAGGATGCTCCTGATGGCCCTGATGAAGTATGCTTCTATGATGGGAACTGAACCGCACGGCTAGGACAGGCAGCCTCTGGAACTTTAGGGCCTCACTTCTACAACCACTGGAAACAAATACTTCCAAACAGTCTGAATGAGGCTGGAAGCACAGTATGCCCAAGCTGAGCCTCCAGATGAATACGAGACAACCCAACACTTGGACCAGAGCCTTTTGACCCTGAGAAGAGGACCTAGTGCGGCTGTGACTGGACTCATGACCATGGAAAATGTGAGATTAATAAATGCGTGTTGTTTTATGCTGCTAAATTGTGATAATTTGCCATACTGAACAGAAAATTCACACACTCATGGATTAAAATCCAATTGTGCCATTATTTTGTTGCTCAAATTGTTTCAGCTTTGACCATTAGAAGCTCCTTCAAATCTTTATTTTTTAGAAGTCACAAGGTATTCCAGGCTCATCTTTTATTTTCCTCACCCCAGTCCTATAATCAATCACTTCTCCTCAGAGCTCTGGTTCTTTCTATCGGAGAATGGTGTTAAGAGACTAAAATCTGGGCATTGGGCCTGCTCGTTATTTCTGGGGAGTTACTGCTTCCAGCGTCTCTCAGTGAAGAGAGTATGCACACCAATGTGCACATACACACTCTACACCTCAGTGTGTGTGTGTGTAAGATCATGAGTGTGGGGCTTCCCTCGTAGCTCAGTGGTAAAGAGACCACCTGCCAATGAGGGAGATGCAAGAGACCTGGTTTCAATCCCTGAGTTGGGAAGACCCCCTGGAGAAAGAAACGGCAACCCACTCCAGGGTTCTTGCCTGGAAAATTCCATGGACCGAGAAGCCTGGTGGGCTACAGTCCATGGGGTTGCAAAGAGTAGGACACGACTGAGCAATTGAACACACATACACTATTGTATTTGGTTAGCTAGTATTTTCCTTAGAATTTTAACACTTGGAGAGGCTTTGAGGGAATTTTTCTAATTAAAAATAGCTTTTAAGAACTAAATCAAAATAAGCATCAATTAAACATTTGAAAGAACAAAACATTAGGATTTTAGTTTATAACAAAACTGAGAGAGACAGGCTAATAAGTATACTTTTGGTTAATTAGCACACATCTAGTAATGTATCGGAGAAGGCAATGGCACCCCACTCCAGTACTCTTGCCTGGAAAATCCCATGGACAGAGGAGCCTGGTAGGCTACTGTCCATGGGGTCGCAAAGAGTCAGACACGATTGAGCGACTTCACTTTCACTTCTCACTTTCATGCATTGGAGAAGGAAATGGCAACCCACTCCAGTGTTCTTGCCTGGAGAATCCCAGGGACGGGGGAGCCTGG